CTCTTTTCCTAAGCACTTCCTTTCAAACCAAAGGCACTTCATAGACAAAGAGATGCTGCCTTCTCCTACAGTCAGTGAAAAGCTCTCATGTCTCTAAAGTGGGATTTCCTAGTTTGTAACTAACTCCCCCCAAAACCAACAACAAAACCTAAGGGTTTTTTTTTTTTTCTCCTGCTGAGATAAGTTCTGAGGAAGAGGTAGCCCCACCAGGCCTTCTCAGCATTTTAGTCTTTCCAGCATCAGTGAGTCCACCTTTAAGGGCAGGCACACTGGGACTATTTTCTTTTCTTGAACTGCATTTTCTAAGTCATTCCCTTGGTAGGAACTCTATTTCAGGAAGAAGAAAAAGCCATAAAGTGCATATAAGCAAAGCAGAAAACCACCCCTATACATGCATCCGCACGCACACACACACACACACACACACACACACACACACACAAATTAGGAAACATAAAACAAACCATTTGCTGATGGGAAGAAAAATGTTGCCAGCAGCAGCAGAAACAAGTGGAAGCAGAAATGAAAGAGGGAGAGAAAACAGTGTTAATCACGTGCTGGCCTATGAGACACACACTAAGCAGATAGTGCTAGTCCAGGTAAACTAGTTTGGTACTACTCAAAATAATTCCTTACAGTATTGTTTGTAACACAGCTAAAGGATAAGAAACATCACAAATGCCCTGTCAATAAAAAGGAAGGTTGTGTCATAGCACATGCCTTTTACCCCAAGTTTAAGTCTGTACTGGGAAATTTACCAAGATTCTGTCTCAAAATTAAAAAGTGGAAAAAAAAAAAAAAAAGGACTGGGAACATAGCTGTGTGAAGGCACTGGGCTCAATCCTCACCACCATAAATTTAATAAAGGCAGGAGGAGGGAGATAACTCAGTGGCATAAGCACCGCCTGGTACATGCAAGGTCCTGAGTTCAATTCCTGGTACAAAAAAAAGGATTAAAAATTATGTCCAAATAATAAGATATTACACAGCTACAGAAAAGGCTGATGCAGTATAGCTCACATGGTAATTTATCGTTTTGTTTTGCTTTGTTTTTTTAAAGCAGAAGGGTATGGCTATATTTATACTGGCTTACATATGCACTTCTTTAAGACAGGCTCTTCCTACCATCTAAGCTGCCTGAACTTCTTAATTCAAATGAGCCTCCTGCTTCAGCATCCAGGGTGCAAGGACTAGAGGAGCTCTCTGCGGTGCCCACCTATACACTTTTTGTTTAAATCTATGCAAAGGTAAGATAGTTGAATCAGTAATTACCTGTCTGGGCATTTAGGAACTGAGGAGAAGATTTGGAGGAAGACCTTTTATCATACGTGTTTTGAATACTGTTTATATGTGAAGCATAGGACTATATTACCTATTCAAAAGAGTAAATGACTTTGAAAAAGAGGAAGACAGCAAAGCAGTAAGAAAAAAATATTACCTGACTCTCCTGGGCTCTCTCATCCTCTTCTGCTTGAGTATCAGTATTACCTTATATTTTAAAAAATGAAAGATAAGTCGAGGAAGATTACAAATTGCAGCCCTTTTTCCTGGCTGTAGGGAAAGGAAGTCAGTTTTTCATATTTTCGGATTTCACATGGACTTTTTGGTGCACCTCTAGAAAAACAGTTGTGTTCCTGTGTCTGGGCAGAGACCCATAGGGCCTGGCTCAGCCTGACCACCAGAGAAGCAGCCATCACCCTCCACCGGGCCTGTGCTCTACACACTTCCAGACCTTGCAGTTGTGTAGAGGGCGCCTACTGTCTTATGTGGTAGCGCCAGGAGCTAGACTGGGACACTGGGGCAGGTGCTGTGAGGCCCAGGCCAAAGTCCTCGGCTGACTGAATGGTGGGAGAGCTGTGGGGATGGGGAGGAAGGTGGGTGGGGAGGGTCAGGCAGCACTGGGTTACCTGAGGAGCTGCTGAGCTGCCTCCTATTTTCTTTGAGTTGAAGCTCCAAGTTCTTGACCTTGAGCTCAAGCTTCACCTTATCAGACTCCAGAGTCTGAACAACTGAATGCAAGGACTTGGCAGAAGCGTTTTCTCCCCTGAGCACTGTGACCTGTAACACAGTTGTCCTCTGAGGCTGGCAGGCCGGGCAGAGAGAGGGCAGCCGACCCCAGGGCCAGGGTCCTACCTCATTCCTCAGCTTCTCCAGCTCTGCGTCCTTCTCTGTGAGCAAGGCGCTAGTGACACTAATGGATTTCTGCAGAGAAGCCTTCTCTTCATCAGCCTCTTTTGTGTACTCAGATTCTCTAAAAGACCAAAGAGTTAACAGAGTTCCAGAAATCAACTGGGAGAGTGGTCAGCACACAACTGTTCTAGAACAAACTTGCAGATAACTTCAGTTATTGTTTTTTTTTTTAAAGTATAATAGGAAACTTTTATATGCAATTAAGGCTATTATGCTTGCAAAATTTTATTTGAAATTTTACTTACTGTGTGGGGAGAAAAAGTTTACCTATGCATAGACATGCCAGAATCTGCATATCATTGTATCCATTTGAACTTAAAGAGACAAGTTAATAAATGTGGAAGATGTAGGGGGAAAAAAACCTTTTGCAAACCTCATCCCACCCCTACTATACCAAAATAGAACCCCAGGTTAAATTTTGTTACTTCTGGGATAAATTATTACCAAGCAATGACAATTAAAATACATACATGCAAAGCAATTATACAGATGTCATGCAGAGCAGTTTATGCTGGAAATATCAGTTGGTTCTCACTAATTTCAGGAACGTTTTAGCAAGTTTTTGGATCATGTGGGCCAAAACTATTGTTCCAACTAAAGGTAGTACTTTCAACTGCAGAATCTGAAGAGGGTTGGAGTTACTCATAGAAATTAAATTGCACAAAGGGTAGAGCAGATATTACTAAGATGGAAGGTTAGGGGCTCGGAGGGAAGGTTAAGCCTTTCTGGTCGCCTGACTCTGGAGGGCAGGCAAGGCCTTCAGGGAGCGGGGAGCATCTCCCTCAGGTGCAGGCAGGGGTAGAGAGGAAGGCTGAAGGGAAGCAGGAAGGCGGCAGGAGACATGAGAGTGCAGCCCACAGGCAGGCTACTATGCATTTACATGTGGGTTCTTGTTGTCAGGAACAGACTGAGGCTGTGGCTGCCATGGCTTGGGTGAGACTAAGGACACCTAGGTGCACTCAAGCTTCCCAGCTCGGATCCTGGCTAAGAAAAGGACTGGGGGAAGGTGAACATGGCCGAGTGTAGCCACAGCCCTATGCAGGGACTTTCCTGGTTTGACACACATGCCACACTGTTCACATCAAGGGAAGCTGGCTGAGGGCATCAGGAACTGGCTGCACTTCCTTCGCACCTTTTAGCTGGTTTAAAACAAAACTCCTTTCAAATCCCATGCAGTATGAAATGCAAGAGGAAAAAGACCTTGTATTACCAAACTACGCTAGGGAAACCACGCTGGAGAAAGTGTCCCAGACTTGCCCTCAGGGCACACAATGGCCAGTGAGCCGTCAGCACTGCAACTGTGAGCCAGACCACACGGGTTCTGCTGGAAGAAGCTGAGTGAGCGCAGAGCATGTGATGGTTTGGTCTGTTTTCAACCCAACAGGAGGAGTAGGAAACTGAGGCCCAGGTTAGATATGGTACAATGTATGTCTGGTTAGTGAGACCCAAGATATCCGGCACAGGAATTACGGGATTCTCGTGGTTTATGGTAAATTGAAATTCTACACAAAAGATGAAAATATAAGTGTATTTATTTCACTGTGTGGCTTACACTTACACTCAAGAATAAGTAGTAAGAAAAGAATCTGAGACTTACGGACACTTCTTGAATTAAAAACACTGGCAAGTAGTGCACATTAGTGCAGCTGGTCACTGCATGAACACTTTCCTAGGAAATGAGGTCTTCTCAGGGGAAAACAATGCAAGTGGAGGGAACTGGCAGCACTGTTTGCCACGTGCACTGTGTCTGATGCCATCCCAAGATGCAATAAACCTTGGGCTCCTTAAATTTCTATTACCCTCATTTGGAAGTCTGTTCTATTATAAAATTGATTTCCAGAGCCTCCCTTTTTACAAACACAACCCAAATTTGAAATTTATAATTTTAAGTGTTTTGCTGATAACTACCACGATTGAGGGTTGCTGAGGATAGATCTTCCCACACTCGGGGCTCGAGTTGGCTATGATCCCACAGTCTCTTGGTGGTGGGGAGGGATAAACACCACCCACTGGCAACAGGGAAAAGGGATGGGTACACTCTTCCAGGCCACCAAGGAGACCCTGTGCTTCCTTGTCACATACACATGCAACCTCTTAGCCAGCAGAGCACTTCCTGGATAAGTTACCAAAAGACACATGGCTAAGAAGGTAATCTGCAAATAACAGGACAAGTGATGCCCATAACTTGTCGTTGTGACAGAGCTTCACTGATGGCTTTTTAGACCATTTCTATACCCCAATTCCACTGTGCAAACCAAGAGCAGCTGAGTTAACCACTTACACAACAAGACTGACAGCTGAGTTGTAGACTGTTATACTGAGGCCACTTTGGTTGACATGGCTTGGTATTACTAAAAATGCCAAAACGGGAGCATGTGCAACAGGACAGAAGGGCTCAGGCCAGCACGCTATCCCTGCCCCCAGGGGACGCACCACTCAGATTCTCTTCTTACAACTCACATAAGAAATAAATTGCAGTAATGCAGCAAATACCTTAACGTGTTACTGGGCAAGCTTTAAAAATGCAAGATAACAAGAACCAAATATTAGAAACATGAGAAGAAATGCAAATACAGTACGGAAAACTAAATTTGCACTGAAGTTCTTTGCTGTGTAGATAGCTAAAAGAAAGAGTGTGTGTGTGTGTGTGTGTGTGTGTGTGTGTATACACTACTGGGCGTATTTTACAAAACAAAAGCAAGACACAGAGGGACAAAGGCAGCCAAAAAATATATACAACAATTTGGTTTACTAAAAATATATGAAATTTATTTATTATAACGTGGATAGACTTTCTTTAGTCTTACCATGAAAGACACACAGATATAGCAAAGGAAGCAAGAGTAGGAAAGGGAAAAGAGAGGGGTGAAATGAGCATTGGTAAGTAGCGCAAGCTCGGAGACAGTCAGACAGTCAAACCCACAAGGAGCTGTAGGAGCGGAGGCAACACACACCGCTTCACAACTGCTAGCCAGGGTCACCAAGCCATTTGTCATTCTGACAGAGATCTTGCATTTACACTACCAGGATGAAGTCTGACTGCAGAAAGCCCATGTTCAAGCTTGGCTTTGCTGTCCCTTCCCTGACATTAAAAAACCCAGGCAGTTGCGCATGTGCACAGCTGGAGGGCCAGCACAGCTCCCATCCTGGCAGACAGAGCATGGCAGGACTTACACTGCTGCTCTGAAACAGGTCTGTTTTGCCTAGAGACCAGTTTTTCAAGTTATTACATTTTTAAGCTTGGAAAAAACCCTTTACCTTCATTGCATGTAATTCAGTGTAACAGACACAAGAAGCCTACAGCAAATACAGATGATACTGCTACTTTCTTAACAATAGCCAGTTTCATCCTAGTCAGGAGTAAGTTCTGCACATTAACAGCTTGCCCATTTGAGTAAAGTTAATTATATGCTATCTTAACTTCTATGGCCAATGATCAATTCCAAATTAAACTGTCGACTAAGCTTTAGGTTCTGGGAACAACTATTTCACACACTCTTATAATTTAAGTACTTACAAGTCTTTTAAAATTAAAAATTTATCAAGATTTTAGTTCTTTATGTTTGATAAATTTACCTGAACATTATACACACAGATCCACATACAAATCATTACCAAACTGATTTAGAGACATTTAAGTCTAAATTATTAGCTAAAATACATTCACATTTGCATACTGAAAACTAACCACAAGAATTAACAAAAAGTTCTATATGAGTAGATTTTTAAATATTTCACTCCCAGAAAACAATAGTCATTTTTATGTATATTGACTCATCAAAATTAGCAGTAATTTTCAAGATAGCCTTTCTAAACATCTATGATGGAAAATGTGAACAAGGAATCAAGTAAGAAGAAAGAAATTAACCAAGTTTCATTCCCCAAATTTATTCCATCTTTTTAAGCCATGAAAAAGGTTCACAGGCCTCATCATTTTAAAGGGCCTATAATTTAAAGTCACATGATAGGTAAGCACTAATGAAGCACAGTATCTTAAAAGAAAAAAACTAAACCAAAAAATAAATAAGGTTAACTGTTCAGGGATCAAAGAACCTCTATATATCCTGAGACTCTGACTGTGAAACTTGTACCATTTAATCAGTCCCCACTCATGGACCAAGGTACCTAACATTAGGGGTTTTCTGTCAGTGTTTTAAAATGGATCCTAATCTGTCTTTCACTGGGTTGTTTGGAGACAAGATGATTGGGGGGGGGGGGATTGTTGAGACAGGGTCTCATGCCGCTGACTCAAGCTGGCCTTGAATTCAGTGATCTTCCTACCTCAACCTCCAAGTGCTGGGATTACAGGCAGGTGCTACCACGCAGACCTAGATGAATTTTTGAATTAGGATTTTTTTTTTTTTTTTCAGAACCGGGATTGAACTCAGGCCCTTGCACTTTTCAGGGAAGCACTTATTCCACTGAGCCATCTCCCTGCCACCCTTTTTTTTTTTTGTATTTTAGGGGAGGGTCTACAGGGTGTTCAGGGTCTCACTACTAGATTGGATTTGTAGTGCTCCACCTGTGTACAGCCTTCCAAGTGCTGGAATTACAGGCGCGCGCCACCATGCCCAGTCTTAATCACTGTCTCAGCATGCCCCAGGGGCGGGCCCCACAGGGCATGCCCGGGGATTGAACACACCCCCACTCCCTACCCCCGCACCTGTTTGCAGGCACTTTAATCCACTGAGCTATTTGGCCAGCCCTCTGAATTAGGAAGTATTACATGAAGCCAGCCCATTTTTATGTTCCCAGGCCAGAAAGCAATAAGCGCAAGTCCTAGTCATTTACACATGTCCTTGATAGCTGCTTGAGGCTCTTAAGAAACAAAAGCATGCATATATATATATATATATCTCCTGTCTCAGCCTCGGCAGCACTGGATTACTGGCATGAGCCACCACACCTGGTTTCAGGACTGCCATTGCCATGACGCACCTGAGGTTCCTGGGTAAGCATGGCATGCAGTACCGGGGGCTGAACTCAGGCCCTTGCACTTGCCATGCAGGCACTTACACCACTGAGCTATCTCTCTAGCCCCAAAAGTTTATTTCTGCAAAGTTACATACATGAGACTGCAAGGGGCAGAGCAGCACTATGCTCAGGCACAGGCAGCGTTTGGCTAAGGAACCACCACTCCTTACTATCCCTAGGGATGCCTCATGGCGGAGTATAAACGCCACCTTAGTGAGAATGCATCTAAGTATTTAATGAAAAACAGAAAGAAAGGCACCCATGGACAAAGGCCTAATATTCTTTATTTTGTGGGTTTTTTCTTGGTGCTAGGGAGGGAACCAGGGCCATGTGCATGCTAGTCATGCCTTCTACCACTGAGCTACCTCTCAGCTCTATCGAACACTCTCTGGAATGTAGCTGGTGCCATCCAACTATCTCTGTGGGCCAAATAAACTCTTAGTTCCTATGAGTGAGACACACATAGCAGTTATCAGGAAGGGAAAAGCCCCTCGGCCCTGGGAAGGAATAATATACATACTTCATAGGAGCATGGAGGTCTTGATAAGGTCATCTTGCTTTTATTTTTTGTTTTCAAAAATAAGCATGCTTATGTGTGATAGCTGTGATTGATATCTATTTATTATTTTGCAGCAACTTATTAGGTGAGCTGTAGTTCTCAGTTACTGTAAAGGTGTAGTCACCTGCTTGACATGGAGGAGAAGCAAAGAATCACCCAGAGCAGTGAGGGTGAATTGTTTACAGCTTTCCAGGATACAAACATTGGCCATAGGGTTGCCCCACTGCCCTGGACTAAACTGCATGTTTTAAAACAGCAGACAAAGACCATCAGACTGTATAAGCAGCAGGCCTCTGAATGATTTCAGCAGGCCATGTTCATCTTTATTTAAAAACACTGGGAAAATCATACTTAGTTTTCATTTGAGTATCATGAAAATATAATAACAGCTACTTTTTACAAATAGAAACACTTAAAATAATATTACCAATTATTACTGAAAAAGTATTACTATTTGTGCTAGTTGGGATGGAACCTAGGGCCTTTGCACTGAGCTACTCCCCAGACTTTTTCTGCCTTGTATTTGGAGACACAGTCTCATAGGTTGGCAAGGCTGGGCTTGAACTTGCAATCCTCCTGCCTCAGGTTCCACGAGTGCTGAGATTATAGGCATTCATCACCATTCCCAGCAAAAATCAGAATTCTTATATAATTGAAATCAGTATTTATAGGCACAGTGATTACATATGTTAAAGTATAATATTTTTTGTTACTAAAACTAGGAATATGGAACAATCTCATTTAGGACATTTTTAATGAAATTGATCATGGCTTAAAATTTCAACTATTTGAAAATGCTGCAAATGGACTTTAATATGTCAATTAATGAGTATCAAACTATCACAGTGCCATCCTCTGAACATAAGGTCTTTTGATTTTCACAATTTACTGCACATATCATGTTCTGAACTTATCCTTATTAAATATATATGCTCACATACAAAAATAAACAGAAAGAAAGCCTACCTCTTTTTCATTTCTAATAACTGATTATTGAGTACAGATCTTTCTTCTTCCAGCTGGAAAACAAGAAAAAGACAACACACACACACACACAAAAAGAGAAAGTGTTCAGTTCATAACAAGTCCATAAAGAGACCCATGTCTTATCCCACTGTCGCATTCCCAGCTCAAGGACAGCAGATTCCAACTGCAGCCCCACAACCATGATCAGTGCAAGCCACCAAGCACAGGCTTCATGGTTTCCACTCCAAAAACATTTGACAACCTGCTGGCTCCCCCTTTTTGTAGACCTGAGAATGAAAAACATTAAATAACAGCAACTAAAACAGCACACCACTCATCTAAAGCTTTCAATAAAGGCTTATTAATGAGTTTATTAATAATGGCTCCACTTGTTATTTTTTATTTTTCAGACAGGGTCTTGGTATGTAGTTCAGCCTGGCCTCAACCTAGAGTGATCCTCCTGTCTCAGCCTGCCAAGTGCTGGGATTATAAGTGTACGCCACCACACCTGGCCATCTCCACTATTAACATTTTGGTTGCTTTACTTAGCTCTCAAAAGCCATGTGTCATGTCACTAGCTCACAAGGGTTAGGAATGGGTCATTTTGCTTCCTGGTTCTCATTTCACTCACCTATTAATTCAGGACACAGTCAATGACTACTGTATTCTAAGCATTTTTTTTTTCCCTCGGAACCGGGGATTGAACTCAGGCCCTTGCACTTGCCAGGGAAGTACTTATTTTACTGAGCCATCTCCCTGGCCCCAAGAACTGTTAAAAAAAAAAAAAAGATTTAAGTAGCTAACATGTAAGACAAGGTACCTACATCCCCAGCCTGTATCAAGAGCACTTTCACCAGCTACTATTTCAGTACACAACATTAACAAAAACGTTAAGGAGCTTTTGTGTGTTTTAATCAAAAGATAACCTAAGATTAACTAACCTAAGAGTTAAACTACTACTAGCTCACTGTGTATAGCTCTGATCATTACACATCAGTGATGGACATGCTTTGCTATGAGGCCTTCATAGTTCCAGGCTTCTTGAATACATATACATATGTATGTTGGACACGAATGTACCCTGATCATGAAGTCTACAGAGGTTAACATCCAGGCTTGTTGCCCTGGGATCTCTGCTTTTCTGGTCAATTAAGAAATATTAGCTGCCTCTACCAGGTGTGGTATTGCATACCTGTAACCTTTCAGCTCAAAGGGCTGAGGCAGGAGGATCACTGCAAGCTCAAGGCCAGGCTACACTACATAGTGAGTTCAAGGCCAGTCTGAACTACACAGTATGACCCTGTCTCAAAGAAAAAACAACAACAAAACAAAGATACATGCTGCCTTTGTTAGCATAACTCAGGGAAATTTTAGGGAGAGAAAGCAAAGAGTGGGAGGCAAATTTAAAAAGGAGGACAACATCTGGAGTAGTATGTAGAGATGAGAGTCTTTCATTTTTGTCTTTATGCCTTGTATTAAATTTGTATTTTTAAAATTTTTTATTTTTCGGTACCAGGAATCAGTCTCAGGATCTCATGCCTGCTGGCAAGCACAAGGTGCCGACTTTGATTCCTGGTAAACCCCCCCCCCAAAAAAAAATTAAAAGTCAGACATTGGTGATGCATGCATATAATCCCAGTACTCAGAAGGCTGAGGCAGGAG